GGCGCCCCCGGGTTTCTCCGTCCTCCACCAGTCGCGGACTGTGGGCCGGGGGGGAGGGGTGGCATTATTAATCCGGGAAGATTGTTCTTTCAGGGCTCTACCATCGCCATTGATCCCCGGCATTGAATGTGTTGGCCTAGTGTGGGGCTCCGAGGTGAGCTTGGCTGTCTGGCTGGTGTACCGGCCACCTAGCGCACCAGCAGCCACCCTGTCAGGCCTGCTGGAGGCGGTGGCCGGCTGGGCCTTGGAGTTCCCTAACCTATTGGTATTGGGGGACTTCAACATCCATGCTGATGCCACTCCCTCCTCACAGGCTCTGGACCTGGTGTCTTCCATGGCGACACTAGGGCTCTCCCAGTTTGTTTCGGGCCCCACACATCAAGCAGGCCACACGCTGGATTTGATCTTTGGCGTCGGTATAGATGTGATCATGTTTCCTTCGATGAAGGTGCCATGGTCTGATCACTACGCTCTGAAAGCCAGGATTGACGTTCCACCCCCACCCTGCTTAGGTGGCGAGCCGATTTGGGCTCGCCCGCAGAGGCTGATGGACCCTGATAGATTCCGTCAAGCCTTGCGGGACCTTTCTCCCCCGGCGACTCATTGACTGAGCTTGTTGAGGGCTGGAATACCCAGCTCCTGGCAGCCATCAATGAGATCGCACCTAAGCGCCCTCTGCGACCCCGCAGAAACCGGGCTCCCTGGTTTACCGAGGAGCTCCGGAAAATGAAGCGGGACCTCAGACGGCTAGAGCGAGTATGGCGGGGTGCCCGTGACGGAGCTTCAAGAACATCTTATAGGGTTTTTATGAAAACCTACGAGATGGCAGTGAAGGCCGCTAAGAAGTCCTACTTCTCGGCCTCCATTGCATCCGCTAGCTCTCGCCCGGCGCAATTATTTAGTATAATTCGGTCTTTAACGTCCCTCGAAGGACAGCCAAATTTAAATAACAATTTGACACACAGCTGTGAGGCATTTGCGAGCTTTTTGCGGAGAAGGTCCTGTTGCTCCGCCATGACCTCCCTGCCAATTTGGATACAATAAAGGAACTGGAGGCCCCTCGACTGTCCTCGGGTCCAGTATTGGACCACTTTGACCGGATATCCCCAGCCGATGTGGACAGACTCCTCCGAGCTGGAAAGCCCACCACTTGTCCTCTCGACCCGTGCCCGTCCTGGCTGATTAGAGCATGTCCAGACGAAGTGCGGGCCCCCCGGGGGATAGCATCAATTTGCCCCTTGGCACCGGGACATTCCCAGGGGAACTGAAGGAGGCAGTGGTGCGCCCGCTTTTAAAGAAAACATCATTAGATCCCTTACATCTATCCAATTACCGCCCGGTTTCGAATCTTCCATTCCTGGGTAAGGTGATTGAGAGAGCGGTTGCTGAACAGCTTGGTAGTTTTCTGGATGAAACATCGGCTCTGGATCCATTCCAGTCTGGCTTCCGCGCTGGTCATGGAACCCAGACAGCTCTGGTCGTCCTAACAGATGATCTCCACAGGCAGCTGGATCGAAGCGGGTCGGGGCTGCTGATTCTTCTAGACCTGTCAGCAGCCTTCGACATGGTCGATCACGAACTCCTGGACCACCGCCTTGCCGACGTGGGGATCCAGGGCACAGTCCTTCAATGGCTGCGCTCGTTTCTCTCTGGTCGGGGACAGAGGGTGGCGCTTGGGGGGGAATTGTCATCCCGCCACTCCTTGGTGTGTGGAGTGCCCCAGGGTGCGATACTCTCCCCGATGCTTTTAACATCTTTATGCGCCCCTCGCCCAGCTTGTCCGGAGTTTTGGGCTGGGCTGCCATCAGTATGCTGATGACACCCAACTCTATCTGTTGATGGATGGCCATCCTGACTCGGCCCCAGACACACTGATCAGATGCTTGGAAGCTGTGGCTGGATGGCTACGTGGGAGCCGGTTGAAGTTAAATCCTTCGAAGACAGATGTCCTCTGGCTGGGACGGGACGATATGGGATTGAGGGGGCAACTCCCATCTCTTGTGGGGGTGCAATTAGTGCCAGCACCGTCCGTTAAGAGTTTGGGTGTAATCTTTGATACCTCCCTCTCCATGGAGGCGCAGATTGCAGCTATAACAAAGGCGGCATTTTTTCATCTCCGCCAAGCTAAGCAGTTGGCTCCTTACCTCTCTCGCCCTGACCTAGCCACTGTGATCCACGCGACGGTCACCTCCAGACTGGATTATTGTAACTCGCTCTACGTGGGGCTGCGCTTGAGACTGACCCAGAAACTCCAGCGGGTGCAGAATGCCGCAGCGAGACTCCTTACGGGGTCTTCGCTGCGAGATCACATTCATCCGGTGCTATACCAGCTGCACTGGCTCCCGGTGGAGTACAGGATCAGGTTTAAGGTGCTGGTTTTAACCTTCAAAGCCCTATACGGCCTAGGACCCTCGTACCTACGGGACCGCCTCTCCTGGTATGCCCCACAGAGGAACTTACGGTCTTCAAATAAAAACATCTTGAAGGTCCCAGGCCACAGAGAGGTTAGGCTGGCCTCAACTAGAGCCAGGGCTTTTTCGGCTGCGGCTCCAACCTGGTGGAACGCTCTGTCACAAGAGACAAGGGCCCTGCAGGACTTGACATCTTTCCGCAGGGCCTGCAAGACAGAGCTGTTCCACCAGGCCTTTGGTCAGGGCGCAGCCTGACTCCCTCCTTTGGCAATCTTTACAAAACTTTAGTTTATGGTTGCCATCAATTTTGATTTTAATTAATTTTTATAATGTTTTTATAATGTTGCACTATTTTAGTGTTGTTAGCCACCCTGAGCGTGGCTTCGGCTGGGGAGGGCGGGATATAAATAAAATTTATTATTATTATTATTATTATTATTATTTACTTGGAACTAAGTTCCATTGTGTTTGTTAGGGCTTACTCCAAAGTAAGGAAGTTTACAAATGTGCTGTTAGAACTTAAGATTTATTTATTTTTCGGCGGATCACCAGGTTGATGGCTCTGGGATAACTCAGTTGGAAGAGCATAAGCATCAGGGTCATTTTGAATCAAGGTGGTGGACCGAAACATGACTTCAGCATTATTCTAAACAAGAAATAATTTTACATTGAAAGACTCATTGGGAAAAGTCTTTGGCATACAATTTCATATGGTCTGTGGCTTGGTGAAATGTTTGGTGCAAAGCTAATGGCTTTGAGATGAAATAATATCTAGTGTGGGCGTAAAACACAGGTGCTGTCGTGAAAAACCTTTTTTTAGCATCTCCATGCTTTTGAGATGCTTGATCAAATTGTATCTCAAGTAATCCGTCTGACCTTTTAGAATCATTTGCCTTCAAAGTACTTTGGAGAGTATAATCTGGGTGTATAACTGGAGCGTCCAACGTATTAGGTATTTTGGCATACCATCATGGGCTAGTGATCTCCCAGCAACATTGGAAAAATGTCCCTCTAGTGTTGGCATATTACCATGCTCTGTGACAACCCCTCTTGCATAAGATCAACATGGTTCATTCTGAGCACTTGATTGGTGGCCCAGCAAATTATGGGCTTGTGGCGTTGTCATAGCTGATGAAGGAACAAATGTTGCATTGCGGGAATGAAGCATGCTGTGTGGTCATTTCACTGATAATGTATAAATTGTTTTGCAGACCCATATAAGGATCAGTTAGTCTGATGGATACCATTGGAAGGATAAGACATCAGCTGCATTGAATGGGACATGATGTCCTTTTTGGAAATGAATTATGCGTCATTAAGTTTTGATATCTGCCATGGCCATTTGTTTATTTACTTGTTTACTTGGCTTATTTACAAATCCATGATAAGCTATGATTGTTCAATCCAAAGGAAATAACATAGCTTTTCTAATTCTAAAAGAGCTTTCAGGAGTGTGTAATTAATATGACCATGGAGAGCATCATACTGTGATTTCTCCTTACCTGAAGAAACTTTGAAGGGCATGAAGGCAGCTCAGAATAAGCTGACTCCAGCTTTTGAAACTGGCAAATACTTAAGTGAGCAGAACATAGCCATGCTACAATATTTATAAAAAGAGCATACAAATTTAACATAGGTTGATGTTGATTCATAACCAAAATTTTGTTGCACTCATCTTGTCCCTTAAATTGCAAACACTTGATAATAGCCAACATGTATGATGGAGGCAGTAACTGTAAGCAGAAACTCAGATACAAGCCTTGGTAGGATAGGAATTGAAGTAAATGGACCACCAGAGCCAGTCTACATGAGTACCAGTGTGGAATAAGTGTCCTTTGAAGCAAGCATGTGAAGCAATAAATGTATCTGGAGAGGGACTAGCCTGAGCAGTAGGCAAACAGGTGGATGGACAAGCAAATAGGGAATCTGATCGGTCAAGAGCAGGGTCAGCAAACTTTTTCATCAGGAGGCCGGTCCACTGTCCCTCAGACCTTGTGGGGGGCCCGGACTGTATTTTTGGGGGAAAATGAACTAATTTCTATGCCCACAAATAACCCAGAGATGCATTTTAAATAAAAGCACACATTCTGCTTGTGTAAAAACACCAGGCAGGCCCCACAAATAACCCAGAGATGCATTTTAAATAAAAGGACACCTTCTACTCATGCAAAAACATGCTGATTCCCAGACCGTCCGTGGGCTGGATTTAGAAGGCGATTGGATCCGGCCCCCGGGCCTTAGTTTGCCTACCCATGGTCAAGAGAATAGACGTTAAGCAGGAAAAAGAAGAGGCAGGCTGACTGGTAGAGGTCCCGAGAGCAAAGCTTGACTCTTGCTAGTTTGCTCACCATTCTGTGTGTTTTATTTAATTCATACAATAAAAAATGGAATGTGTCTTGCTACCAATTCATGAATTATAATGCTTTCAGCTATTATAACATTTTAATGAAAACAACACAACAGGGTTCAGCCAAAGGCAAGGATGGATAAGATGGCCTTGCAGCATAGAAGTAATTTTGGTTTATCATTAGAATATTTCTAAATGAGTTTAAGAAAAAATATTTTACAATGTGGATCCTCAAAGCATAGTGTGATGGGATGATGAGCTGCTTGTGCGTAAAATCGTATCCCCTCAGAGTTTGTTCAAGTCCACAAACCTCTGTCTGTGACGGAGCCCCTCAGACATGGCTCCTCTAGTCACTAGCAGATTCCGACAGTGGTTGCTTTCGTAATCGCTTCCAACATAAAAGCTCCTTAACGGAAACACGTCTTCTGGACTCTCTGCGTGACAGTTTCCGGCGAGGAGTGGGTGTTCTTACAGGAGGTCCTGAAACCTCCCCACTGTTTTCGCTGGAAGTGTCTCTGAGCCATCCCTCCAGCTCAGCTCCTCTCCCCCTGCTGGTTCCCTCTTCAGCTGCTGCGTCTCTCCCAACCTGTGTGAGCCCTTTCACCTCCCTGCTGGTTCCCTCTTCAGCTGCTGCGTCTCTCCCAACCTGTGTGAGCCCTTTCACCTCCCTTCCGTCCGATGGCAGTTCCCTGACATCCACCTCCCCCTCCAGGGCCCCCTTCACCCCTCTCGCCCCCTCCTCTACGGGCGGTGAGGAGGCAAAACCCGGAATGAACTTCCTTCATCTTCCGATGTCTCTAACACTTCTCTCAACCTGTTGCGGTTCCTGGTCTCGAAGTACACCTCCTCCTCAGAGTCCATCTCCCCTTCCCCTTCCGAGTCCAGGAATCCTTCCAACTCCTCCCCTCATCAGTGGTCCCAAAGTATTCCCTCCGGAACCTCTCCACAGGCTGAGGTTTCCTTGGGAACCTTTGATGGAACGTTTCTATCAATACCTCGTCATTGATATCTTCGGCCATTACCCAAGTGTTTTCTGACTCCGGTTCTCCTTCCCACGCTACCAAATACTCCACCTGATCCCCCTTCCACCTGGCGTCAAGGATTTCTGCCACATGGCTGCTGCATTCTCTTTCTTCTATGACCGGTCCCCGAGTGGCCAGCCCTTCTCGTCCCCCTTCGTACGGTGACAGTAACGACCTGTGAAATACTGGGTGCAGTTTCATGTGGTTGGGTAACCGGAGCCTGAAAGCCACTGGGTTGACCTGTTGAATGACCTCAAAGGGACCCAACCTCCTGGGTCTTAATTTCTTACAACCTCCTTTGAACGGCAGCCCTTGGGTTGACAGCCACACCCTATCTCCCACCCTTATGGTTTCACCTTCCCTTCGGTTCTTGTCTGCCTGCCTCTTGTATTCTTCCTTCGCCCTTTCTAAGTTGAGTTGGAGCTGACGATGGATTGCTTCCATTTCTTCCACAAAATGCTCGGCTGCCGGGACGCTCCATCTCTCCCCATCTCCCCCTGGGAAAGCCCTGGGATGACACCCATAATTAGCCAAGAAGGGGCTCATCCCTGTGGACACATTCTCGGCATTGTTGTAGGCAAATTCCGCCAGCGCCAACTTTTCTACCCAGTCATTCTCTCTGTCATTGACATAACATCTCAGGTATTGCTGGAGGACACCGTTTGCTCTTTCCGCCTGCCCGTTGGTTTCAGGGTGCCGGGCAGTCGAAAATTGACCTCCACCTGCAGTAAGCTCATGAGCTTCCTCCAGAACCTGGAAGTAAATTGTTTTCCTCGGTCTGAGACCACCCTCAATGGCACCCCGTGCAACCTAAAAATGTGTTCTACAAATAACTTCGCTGTCTCTTCCGCCGTGACTGCATGCGAGCAAGCTACAAAGTGGCACATCTTTGTTAGTAGGTCTACCACCACCATGATGGCTGTTTTCCCTTTGGACTTCGGCAGATCAGTCATAAAATCTATCGACACTGCCTCCCAAGGTCGTTCTGGGGTTGGTAAGGGTTCTAATAGCCCCGCCGGCGCCCGCCTTTCCCCTTTGGCTCGCTGGCATTGCTCGCACCCTCTTACATACTCACGTACATCTTCCCTCACCTTAGGCCACCAAAATTCCCTGGTGACCAACCACATGGTTTTGTGTTGTCCAAAATGCCCCGCCGTAGGGCTGTCGTGCAACTGCTTGAGTACCCTCCCCTTAACTCTCCTTCAGGGATATACAGTGCCCCTTTGTAATACAAAGCTCCATTTCTTTCCTCGAAACCCCTGGTTCCTCTCCCTCACCCCTAAGACCTCTGAGCTTATTCTGGGCGTATTCATCATTCTCTGTTTCCTCTACCAGTTCTCTTTGTCCCACCAATGCCGCCCCACACACCCAGCGGTCCTCTGGAATGACATGTCTCTCTTCGGGTGCCCCTCCCCCTCCAAATATTCAGGTTTGCGTGAGAGAGCGTCCGCCCTAATGTTCTCTGGGCCTGGCACGTAACTAATCTCAAAGTTAAATTTGGAGAACTCCTGGGCCCATCTCACTTGCCGTTGGTTGAGCACTCGTGCCGTCCTCCAATACTCTAGGTTCTTGTGGTCAGTGCACACTTGCACCTTATGTTGTGCGCCAATTAGCAGGTGCCTCCATCTCCGGAACGCCTCATGAATGGCTAGTAGTTCTCGGTCATACACCGTGTAGTTCCTCTCGGATTTGTTCAGCTTTCGCGAAAAAAGGCACACGGTCTCCACTCTGACCCCTTCTTCCCTGGCTGCAGAAGCACCGCCCCAATCGCTCTGTCTGATGCGTCAGTTTCCACTCTCATCGGTTTTTGTAAATCCACATGCAGGAGTTGTTGTTCCGAGGCGAAGGCCCTTTTTAGTTCCTCAAATGCTCGCCCCGCCTCCTCAGTCCACACGAACTTCTTCTTACTGCTGAGACAGTCCGTAATGGGCGCCGTCAGGTGAGCAAAGTTTCGGATGAACTTACGATAGAAGTTCCCAAATCCTAGGAACCTCTGCACATCCTTCTTTGTTTTGGGTGTTTTCCATTCCAGCACCGCCTGGACCTTGCCGGGATCCATGGCCAATCCCTTGTCTGACAGGCGATACCCCAGGAATTCCACCTCCTTGGTATGAAACTGACACTTCTCCAGTTTCACCCACAGCTGGTTGGCTTGCAGCCTGCTCAACACTTCTCTGACGTCTCTCACATGCTGCTCCTCATTCTCAGAATACACCAACACGTCGTCTAAAAAGGCCACACAATTCTTGTAAAGCAAAGGCCCCAGGACGTGGTTCATAAACGATTGAAATGTTGCGGAGCCTGCTTGTAGGCCGAAGGGCATAACCAAATATTCAAATGCCCCTAAAGGGGTGAACATAGTGGTTTTCCATTCATCCCCCTTCCTTATTCGTACCAGGTTGTACGCCCCCCTTAGGTCCAGCTTTGTGAAAATCTTTCCCTTCCGCACCCTTGTCAAAATGTCGTCAATCCTGGGCATAGGGAAGGCTACTGGTTCTGACACTGCATTTAAGGCCCTGAAGTCACACACCAGCCTCGGCTTGTTCGTGTTTTTCTTATCCACAAAAACACTGGGCTGCCCCCCACCGCCCTGGACTCTCTGATGAACCCTCTCTTCAGGTTCTTGTCAATGAACTCTCTTAACTCCTGCATCTCTCTGTCTGACATGGCGTACAGCTTGCCTACAGGGAGCTGTGCTCCAGGGAGTAAATTGATTTGACAGTCAAAGGGTCTATGCGGGGGTAGTTGGTCAGCTTCCCTTTCGCTGAAGACGTCACGGAGATCTGCATATTGTCGTGGTACCTTCACGTTCTCTGTTACTTCAGTCCCTGCTAGGGTGGCTTGGACCCCTGCCAAACCCTTTCCCTCTTTGCAGTGTTCTAAGCAATGTGCTGAACCAAAAGAAACCACTCTCTGATGCCAGCCCACCAGCGGATCATGTAACGCTAGCCAGCTCATCCCCAATATAATGGGAGCTCCTCCCAAGGTGGCCACATTAAAAGCTATCAGTTCGGTGTGCCTTGCTACCTTCATTATCATTGGGACGGTCTGCAAGCTGACTTCTCCTCCCAACAGCTCCCTGCCATCGATCGTGGTCACCTGCAGGGGGCTGCTTAAAGGATCGTCTGTATCTGGTGTTCAGCTGCAAACTCTTTGCTCATGAAATTGCAGGAGCTGCCTGAGTCCAACAGCGCCTTTATCTTTAGAGGGTGTCCGTTTGGCAGCTCTAGCGTCACTTCTATCACTAGGGCGGGTTTAGGAGGTTCTGGCGTGGGCACTCTCACTGCTCTTTGGCCTGGCTGCTGTGCCCCGACAGTGGCAGCCAGGCGTTGGCATTACTTGCTCCGGTATTTCTTCCTCTCTTCCATCCACAGCTCCTACCATCCCTTGCCATTCTTTCCTCTGGGGGCAGACTCTGGCAAAGTGACCTGGCTGTTGGCAGAGATAGCATTTCCGGGCGCCTTTTCCCTCCTTCTTTCCCCCCTCACTGGGCTTTGAAACTGCGCGCGCGCTGCTGTTCCGATTTCCATCGGCTCTGCCGGTGGGAAAGTTGGCTCTGGAATGTCTGGAATGCGGAACTCCTTCCAACGTTCCCCTTTCCCTTCCCGCCTCTCCAATGCTCTCGCCTCCTGGCGCGCTCCTATGGCCAGCGCTGATTTGGTCAGCTGGTCCATAGACTCCGCCCTGGGCGCCCGGGAAAGTTCGTCTTTCACAGCCGAAGAAAGCCCTTCTTCAAAGAGCATTTGAATGGGTTCCGCCGATAAGTCCCACCCCAATCTGTGAACAAGCATGGTGAACTCAGTCCAGTACTCACGGACAGATCGGCTCCCCTGTTTGCAAGCCATTAACTGTCTGCGCACCACTCCTTTTCAATATCGCTGGAAAACATCAGATCCATGGCGCGAAAGAACTTCATCGTGTCCTTTAGGACGTCACTATTCGCTGCCATCAAGGGTCTAACCCAGTCTCTCGCCCCTTTTCAAGATGCTCAATCACGAAAGCCACTCGTGATTCCTCGTCAGGGAATTCATCAAACTGCAGATTGAGGGCATATTGCATTTCTGTCCGAAAGCCATGATAGTTTTTGGGCTCCCCCCCAAACTTCTGCACCAATCCTGGTACCTTTCTGGCGAGCTGGGTGGCTTTCCCCTTTTGTCTGCATCCTGAGCCCTCCTCTCCTCAAGCCTCGCCGTCTGCATCGCTAGCTGGACCTCCAACACCCGGTACCTTTCTTCCAGGCTTGGACCCGCTCCAGCTCCTGCTTCTCCGGTTCCGGCTGGGTTGCTCATGATGCCTTCTCCTGCACAAGCTGCTTTCAAAGACTGTCGGAATGCTGTGATGGGATGATGAGCTGCTTGTGCGTAAAATCGTATCCCCTCAGAGTTTGTTCAAGTCCACAAACCTCTGTCTGTGACGGAGCCCCTCAGACATGGCTCCTCTAGTCACTAGCAGATTCCGACAGTGGTTGCTTTCGTAATCGCTTCCAACATAAAAGCTCCTTAACGGAAACACGTCTTCTGGACTCTCTGCGTGACAGTTTCCGGCGAGGAGTGGGTGTTCTTACAGGAGGTCCTGAAACCTCCCCACTGTTTTCGCTGGAAGTGTCTCTGAGCCATCCCTCCAGCTCAGCTCCTCTCTCCCTGCTGGTTCCCTCTTCAGCTGCTGCGTCTCTCCCAACCT